GGCTGCTGGTCTTTCGTAACGCTGTGAGGGTAGACCCTCTGCCTTCTGAAAACCACTGCCAGAACCAAACTACACAAAACATTTTGGCTGCCAGCCTGTCACAGTGCCAAGCTGTTTTGTATTTTTGTGCTAGACTCCCTGAATTGAGACCGTGTGGGATTGTCACTTTGGTGCAGAGAACAAAGAATAATATAGTACGAGGCGGGGGGGGATTTTTCCCCCTTTTAAAGTCAGGTTAGCATTTTGTTTTCTTTGACAAGTCATGAAAAGACCCAAGAAACAAAAGTTACATTGAAGAATGCATCAATTGCCAAGAGAAATTAGTGTGAGTACAATATTGTTCATGGTTTTAAAAGCTATGTGAGAGATTAACATTTCTAAAAATCAGACTTAAAAGAGGTCCAAGTCATCTGGTTACCTGTTTCATAAGGCAGAGAGCAGAAATACATGATTCATCATCACATAATCTCATTGAAAATCAGAAAAGATTAAGAAGGGCCATAAAAACAATCAAGAAAAGTACCATCATTTTCAGGATGCTATTCCGAGGCAACTGTGTCAACTGCTATTCTGACCTTGATTTCACCAAAATCAGGTAATCTGATTAAAAGATAATAGCATTAGAATCTGTACATTGTAGGCCTTCACCGGGAAAGAAGTGATACATGAGCAAAAATGTTTAAAGGATTGAACCACAAATCATCTAGAAAGCTGCCACAGACACAAACAGGAAAACCGACTCTTCTATCCTATTCAGCTCTGTACTAAAAGCTGGGCTAACCCAAATGACAGAGCCAAGGGTGTGCTGCTGCAAGCTTCAAACAATATACTACCTGGACCTGGGGCCTAGAAACACCAGTCAGTTATTAGCTCCTAGAGGTATGACCTTTTTCAATTTAATGCAGAAGATCAGTACAGGCAGAAGCCCATTTTCTACAAACCAAATGAAAAGAAAGAATGAATTGTGATGAGCCCAGATCCCATGCTGGCTTACTTTACACTAAGCTCAGCATCATCAAGAAGCAGTATGCTTCTCCCTGCCAATCGGGAGTGGGGGGGGGGGGGGGGGGGGGGGGGGGAGTTATGAAACTAATATGCCACTGATGAACAGAACCGAAGGTCTACTAGTCCTTTCCTCTTGCACATCTCCACTGAATCAGCTGTGAAAAGGAGACCAACGGCTGTTACAGAAATAGCAAGAACTAAAGTACTTGCCTCAGATGTTACACATGGAGGCATGGGGCATTTACCACCTGAGCCTATCTAATTTCTGACAAAATGATCCCCTGCCCAGTTTTGTTCATGGCCGCAAAAATCTGATAGCAAGTCACGATCGGTGCTGAGAAAGGCAGTGGGGGAGTGAGAACATGGGGAAGAAACCAAGTGAGAACAGTGGCTGAACTTCAAACGATGTGCACACATCTCACTAAGTGTCCCTGAATGGCACACGAGGATGGCTGGAGCTGTGGGAAAGGTTTCAGGTACATTGATTGACTTTGGGTGGCAATCGTACGGCTGTCACATAATCAAAGAATGCATTATGTTGTTCCTCACTGTTCTCCTTTTCCATTTTACTTTCTTTACTCAAAGATGTGCTGGCTGATGCTATTACTGCATGGGATACTGTTGGAGGCAAGGCATTCATGTACTGCCCAAGTGGTTCTGAAAATGATGTCTGGCTGGCTTTAGTTCAAAAGGAACTAAAACTAGCAAAAACTAGGAAGCAAGAAGAATGAAAGGTGTAAAAGAAGACAGCGATAGCCTGTTCTTTCTGTTTATTAGTGGTGCAGATAAAAATGGGGGAGATGTGGAAAAAGCAGCCAAGCTGACTCAATTACAACGGAAGATTAAAGGAGTTAAATGTGTATAACTTGGCTGACAACCAAGGAACAATATGAGAGCTGTCCACAACTCTCCAAAGTATATACATAAAAAGAAGAGTAGGGAATTTTTATCTACTATAGAAGTGTGAATATATGAAATAATGAGATAAAATAAAAATAAAGAAATCTGACTACAAGCAGCAGAGGAAGTAATCTTGTAAAGATTCAGAAAAGCTGCTTCCTTCTCTTTAGAAATATTTATCATCTTACTGACCCTCACTGCAGTAAACAGTAGATGATAGGAAATGACCACAGACTGTCAGAGGATCAGAACTGATGAAGAAATGACAATGAGCCCAATTGCCTTCTGAATAACGAGCTAGACTGGGACCTTCTTTGCGCAGGTCCAATCTGTTCCACAGTGACGTGCCTGTGAGATCACAAAAGACACCCTGTCGTCATCATCCTTTCAGCCGAGCCGACATTCTGAAGCCTGATGAAGGCCTGTGGAAAGGCAAACCTGGACAAGAGTTGGCTCGATGACAACTCTATACTTGGATATTCCAGGAATGGAAACTATCAAACCCAGAAATTTTTGCATCCAAGCTCCCAATTAATAGGAGCTCTTTTTCCAGCCTTTCCAAGGATTCCCTAAATATAAAAATTGATTTGAATTCAAGGTCCTTAACTTGGTCCATGGATGGCCTTCAGAAGGCTGAAGACACTGCTGACAGACATGAAAAACTTATGGCTTTATGTGAACAGCTATCTCTATGGAGAGAAGGTTAATAGTTTGCCTAGCTCAAAAAATTCCATTAAAAAAGGAGAAAGCAAGCAAAACTTAAAAACTATTGCAGAACTTCTTCAAAAAGGCAGATTGGAATATATATGAATAGCCAATCCAGGATCACTCTCTAAGCCCAGAAATCTGGAAGATAAACCACCACTCTAAAGAAAGGTAATCTAATGGGATGCAAAAACTATTGAACAATATCATTGCTATCACACGCAAATAAGATTTTGATGAAGATAATGTAAAAACATACAACTAAATAAAATAATAATAATAATAAAGACAGATACAACAGTACCTTAGCACGGAACTGCCAAAAATTCCAGCCAGATTCAGAAGAGGATGTAGCATGAGAGATAACATTGTTAATGTCAATACTGATCTTGGCTGAAAGCAGAGAAAGACAGAAGTATGTAAAACTATGTTTTATATACTATGCAAAGGTATTCAATTGCAGATAACATTGTGAACAATGGGAATTCCAGAGCATTTCTTGTGTTCGTGTGAAACATGTGCATAAAGCAGGAAAAAAAAGATTTATGTGATCAAGGATTTCATTGTACTTGGATCTGCAACAACCATGGATTCTACAGTCAAGAAATCAAATAACATATTGCATTGGAGAAAGTGCTGCAAAATCTCGATGTAAAGTGTTAAAAAGCAAATATGTCACTTTGTGGACTAAAGTATGCCTGACCCAAGGCATGGTGTTTTCAATCTCCTCATATGCATGCAAAAGCTAAGCAATAAATAAGGAAGATCAAATAAGTTGATATCGTGAATTTTGGTATTGCTGAAGACTACTGAATATACCACAAGCTGCCTGGGGAACAAACAAATCTATCTTGGAAGAAGTACAGACAGAATGCTTCTTAAATTTGTCACAAGGTCTCTAGACATGTTTAGAAAGGACCAGACCTTGGCAAAGGACATCATGCTTGGTAAAGTTGGGGGTCAGTGAAAAAGAGGAAGGCCCTAACAAAAGACATTGACAAACTGGCTGCAACAATAGGTTCGAGCATACCAGTGACTGTGAGGATGATACAGGACAGAATAGCATTCCATTCCATTGGCCACAGGGTGCCTCTCAATTAGAACAGAATCAAAGTCACTTAACAACAACCAGACCATATTGGGGTTTTTTGCCCTAGGGAAGAAAGGAGACTAGATGGCACCATAGTTTAGTACACATGTGCTAACCAAAAGTTCATCAGTTCAAACCCACCAAACATTCCAAGGAAAGAGGACTGGTGATCTGTCACTATAGAGATGACAAGCTTAGAAACCTTATAGGGCAGTTCTCCTCTATCTTATAGGTAGGTCACTATGAGTGAAAATCGACTTGACAGCACATAACAGTAACGCTAGGGAAATGATAGAGGTGCACAGACATTTGCACATGTGGAGTAAATCTCTTAAGAATACTGCTTTCCAGAAAGTTTATGCACTGAGTTCATGTTACTTGACTTCAATAGCCTTATGTTCCCATTGAGCCATATGCAGTGACAAGTAATAAGACATGACCATATACTAGGGTGACCAGATTTTAACATTGGTAAAACGGGACACCATTGATAAAACTCATATCCTGGCAAAATAGCCACATGGCAGCCGAAAACCGTATACCCTAGCTTGCTGTACATTCTTTCCAAAAATCGGGACTTTTTTAAAACACTGCGGGACGTGGGAAAAATTGCTAAAAATCAGGACTGTCCCGCCTAAAGCGGGACGTCTGGTCACCTTACCACATACCCTAAGCTGGACATCATGACTTCTTGTCTTGTCTTCTCAATACATTTAGGTCTGAATTCGTAAGTATATGAGTACTGTCAGGATCAGAACTAATACAGTAATTCTTTCAAAAAACGACACTACTTAACAGGCAAAAAGGAGGAACTATCAAGGCAATGAAAGGAAGCCTGGTAGTAGTGTTTTGGGTCAGCACTCAGCTGGTAACTGAAAGGTCAGCCACTTGAACCTTCCAGCCACTGTGCAGGAGAAAGAGGGTGCCTTCTCCTTCTGTAAAGATTCACAGTCTCACAAGCCACTCAGTCTATGTCATATCGGGTTCTAATGACTCAGTCAACTCAATGGCAATGGGTATGTAAGCAACAGAAAAGTTGGCTAACTGTGGGAAACAGAACCCGGAAGATTGTATATGGGGACAAATTCTCTATGTTCATACATTAAGGAGTCTGAGAGGCTGGGCTCCCGTGGAGGGAGATCTTCTTATGCGTGGGTTGGAGATGAGTTCCAGTCACCTTCTACATAAAAGTTACTCCCCACGATGTCCCCTGGAATAATGCCAATTTTAAGGTGCTACTTGCAAGCACATGGTTGCAACTATATACGCTTGAAAGTCAACGGCTTGAAGGCTACTTGCCTGAAGGTTGTCTACCATGGAGGGCAATCGTCTGTCCCACGAAGTAGGACCCACTCCCTTATGAGAAGGATCGTAGATTGTTGCCCTGGAGAAGAGCTCAGAGAAGACTAAGGTTAGACCATCATCTTAACTCTAGAGCCCGCCCATCTTGTTACTTATGTACCTTCCTGTCACATGTATGCCTCTAGTACCTCCTCTTCCTATTGTGTATAGGCCCGTAGCTCATCCGGCCCATATGACGTGTATACCTCTAATACAGCCCATTCTTGCTACGTTAAGTATGTGCTTACCATGGCCTGCAAGCCCAAGATTAGATAAGCTCTTGAGAAAATACTTAACTGCCTCATTCTGGTTCGGGCCTCCATGGAAGAGGTGAGCCCTTGCATGCCTTGTCTTGTGTCTCTTTAATGTACCCCTCAATTACACAACTGCCCCTTAGGACCCATCAAGATGTGGGGCTGTATCCCACAGCTGACAAACACAGCACAACATTACAGAGAATTAGGCAAACATATCTTGTAAAATAATGACTTGAAACAACAGTCACAGGCCCAGAGTAACCTAGATCACAGAGGAAGTGGGTTGGAGAGCATTCTAGGCACCCATTGAGATAAGATGGGCGGGCACTCACAGTCACAGCGTTGATCCTAAGTAGAAGAGTCACATTAAAAAAAAAAGACAGAGAGGGAGAGGATAAGAGTCTAGTAAAAAGAGAGGAGGAACAGAACTTCAACTAAGTGTTTTCTCTTGTCCTGTGTTGTCTTAACTATGAATTTTCAAATTTGGTTGCTTGGCACTTCTAAAAATTCAGTAACTTGTTCTATAACCGTGAATGCATAAACTAGGTACTATCTGCAACTTAACTTAGCTATGGTATGCAACTAGGAACTCTAACCAACAGAACTAGTCTCCCTTACGGAAATTTCCATCTCAAAATAAGAATTACATAACAAGTTTCTCTACTACTAACCCCTTTGCCTGGATGCCGGACCCTATTCATTCGTGCCTTTTCTAATACATTGTTCTATCACGGTTTGCCTTTCCCTCAACCTTCAATCTTTTCCTTTAGATGGGTTCTTCCCTTCATCACTAACACACCTCTTGTAAGAATTGCAATTGGCCCTGTCAAGGTTCACAAAACAGCCCTATAAACTCATTATCTTCACTTAACCTCTACCTAATGCTTAAATCACCATAGCTTAGCTCCCTTGTCTATCAGTTTACTGAAACAGCTATTGCTAAGGTGGACCATAATCAAATAATACCTGTTTTCATTTCTAACCACATGCCTCTCTGAAATTCCCTCTCTGTAGTTTCTAGCCACGCATACAAGAGGTTCTCCTCTAGACCCGGGGTCTTCTCTACTTCACTTGTGGCTCCTGCCTAGGTATTCCCTAGGTCCCTATTCATTGGTGATTTAACAGTATCATTATGTACCTGTCTTTAGGACTTTCATAACCATATATGAGAGGGCATCAAAAAATTGTAGTCAAATTCCATTATCTTTTCATTCCATTTTCCACAAAATTTTTGAAACCTAATATGTCATCATTGATGATGTGTAAATCGAGATAGTTCCCCTCCTTCTCTTTCCACACTACAAACTTACAATTTCTGTCTATTAGATGCACAGAGCCCAGGTAACATGGTGGGGTAAGCAATGGACTGCTAACTATAAAGTCAGCAGTTCAAACCAACCAGATGCTCTGTGTGAGAAAGATGAGGCTATCTGTTCCCACACAGATTGCAGATATTAAGAAATCCTACATAGGGTATCTACGACTTGGAATGAACTTGATGGCCATGTGTTTTTAAATGCATATCTTTCATTAGTAGTTGCGAAGTATTCATATCCACCCTGACTTTAAAAAGAAAAAGTTAAAAGAAGTCTATGTTCTACAAGTTTGTTTTACAAACCAGTGTTTCCCTGGGGGAGAGGGGGGTAGCACTAAAATTATGTGGGGGGAGCCCCCCCCCTGCACTTTATCTTGGCTTATGAGCTACAATAGAAAAGCTTTCGGTTGCCAAAGGTGAGAGGATCCTGGGTACTTTGTTGTTGTTTTTGTTGTTGTTGTTGTTGTTTAACTGAAGAGGAGGCAGTAGATCAAGTAAGTTTGGGAACTTATTTTGGGAACTTAAGCCCCTGAAATGTGGCTAATCTGAACAACGGTGGGCTATGATTATGAAATACATAATAAATATTGAGGCTCTAATGCAAAATTTGAGAAACTTAATGATTCATTTTTTAACATGTTGAAATCATAATTTAAATCTAATGGATTAAATAAAATCAGAAGATAAATGAAAACTGGAATTCCAATTCATACATGCATGGATTTACATCAAATAAAACATGTTTAGAAATGTCTGTGATCAGTGGATGGCTGCAGACCAGTATTTTCAGTAATAAAAGAAAGCTTCAAAACGTTTGTGGAAAACATGGGATTGAAAATGTGATATAGTAGTAATATGATCTTTGTAACTCCCACCAAATGATTTTTTTCCTGGTAGCCGTGAGTAGAGAAGGTGGGGGAAGATGCTATAGGGTTATATGATTCAATGTGAATGATCATTAACAAGATTCATTGAGATTATACAAATTTGGATCTCAAGCACGAAGACTGGTCAATTTTACCACCAGTGTGTATATGAAAGGAGCACCCTCAAATGCTGGAGAGGATGTGGAGGGAAAGGAACTTGTATACATTATTGATGGACTGATAAATATATACAAACACTACAGAAAACAATATGGTGATACTTAAAGCAACTGGAAATTGAAATCCCATATGACCCAACAATACCACTATTAGGCACATACTGCAAAGAAATAAGAGACACAACACAAGTGGATGCGTGATCGCCCATGCTCAGAGCAGCACAGTTCACAGTAGGAAGACACTGGAAGCAGCCAAAATGTCCAACAGTGGAAGAATGGATAAAGAAACTATGGTATGCATACACACAATGAAATGCTATGCATCCCTGAAAAACAGGGATGGAAGCATGAAACACTGCATGATATGTGTGTTCGGCCAGGTTGACCAGAGAAACAAATCCAGAGACACTCTTATATGTGTAAGAAACAGCTTTATTTCAAGGAGTAATTGTATATCAAGAAAACATGCCAGCCCAGTCTAACTCAGGTTCTTAAGTCCAGGACTAGTCCAGAAGTCCCTCTTCAGACTCGTGAAGCTACAAGCAATGTTGCAGAATGCATGACGATCACAGGTTGGTGGGTGAAAAATCGTGTGGATCCAATGGCTGCGACAAGACTCTGGCAGCAATCAGGGTCAGCCATCAGGAAGGTGAAGGCAGAGAGGGAAGGGAATGTTTCCAGGCCCCTCCTTATGAGAAGGCCACCCCCACAAGGAGGCACCATCAGGCTGTGACCTGACTGACAGGTTGAACACCACCCTTTTATGCATCTTCAAGTTGACATGAAATTATGGAACTACTACAACATGGAAGTACATGGAAACCATTATGCTGACTGAAATTAGTCAGTTACAAAAGGACAAGTATTTTTTTTAATTAATCAATTTATTGGGGCTCATACAATTTATCACAATACATAGATCAATTGTGTAAAGCACATCTATACATTTGTTGCCCTCATCATTCCCAAAATTCTCTTGCCTCCTGGGTTCCCGGAA